TTTTCGATTCCCCAAGTCTGTATTGGTTACTTTTCTCTTTTGGCTCACATTCTGGGAGTGTGGGTGAGGAAGGCATGGAGCCCGAGGGAGGCTGCTAGTTACATTGTATCCACAGTCAGGAAGCAAAGAGGGGAAGCCTGGTGCCCAGCTCGCCTTTCTCCTTCCTTTTTTAAATTTAATTTTATGTGCAGTGTTGTTTTGCCTGCACGGATGTCTGTGTGAGGATGCCATATCCCCCTGGAACTGGAGTTACAGACAGTTGTGAGCTGCCATGTGGGTGCTGGGAATTGAACCCGGGTCCTCTGGAAGAGCAGCCAGTGCTCTTAACTGCTGAGCCATCTCTCCAGTCCTTACTTTCTCCTTTTTATCAGTCCTAGCTGCCAGCCCGTGAAATGGCACCGTCCTTATTCGGGGTGGGTCTTCCCCGACCCTCTTCAACCCATTCTAGAAGCTCCCTCTCTGATATTCCCAGAGGTTTGTTTCTCTGATGACGATAAATTCCATCAAGTTGGCAGTCCAGATTAACCACCAGCCCCTTTGAATGGCGCCTCTCCCACGCCAGTTGCCCCACTGCCCCCACATCCCCATGTCCACTAACCTTACTTTTATTTTTATGTTCTCTCTCATCTCCCCAGGGAGGTGGCTGCCGCTTCCTGCGTTATGACTGCAGAGTCTCATCCCCCAGGAAGGGCTGGGCTCTCCTGCACCCTGGCCGCCTCACACACTACCATGAGGGCCTGCCCACCACCCGGGGCACTCGATACATCATGGTGTCCTTTGTTGACCCCTGACACTCGACCAGTCTGCCAAACCTTCTCTGACATTGTGCCTTGTTGGGCCCTGGGGGTCCCATTCTGCTATTCTCAGAGAGGGGGGCCCTGGCTCTTCTCATTTCCTGAGTGTGTCTGTGTGCCTGGGACTGAATGTCCGGCCCCAGCATCCCTCTCAGGAGGTCCCTGGAGTATTCCACCTTCCCACTGACCCCATGGACTCAGGGGGAGTGAACTCTTCTTTTTTTGTTTGTTTGTTTTTTGTTTGTTGAGACAGGGTTTCTCTGTGTAGCTCTGGCTGTCCTGGAACTCACTCTGTAGACCAGGCTGGCCTCGAACTCACAGAGATCCACCTGCCCCTGCCTCACAAGTGCTGGGATTAAAGGCGTGCACCACTGCTGCCCAGCAGGAGCGGACTTCTGAGAGTTCCCTGCCTAATAAATTATTGTGCTTCCTCAGCCTCACTTTCAATAAAAGGGTGTTTGTAACTGTTGAGTCCACGTCATATATATATGTAAAGTCAGGGTCTCATGTAGCCCAGGCTGGCCTCCAACTCACTAGAGGGATTACAGTTGTGCACCACCATGTCCACGTTATACAGTGCTGGGGGTCAAACCCAGAGTCCTGCATGGTGGCAAGTTCTCTACCAACTGAGCTCCACCCCCTCTCCTTTATTCTTTTTTTTTTAAAGTAAATTTTGTGTATGTAAGTGTGGGTCTATGCACATGAGGTGTCCACAGAGGCCAGAAGATGGCATCACACAAGATGGGACTAGAGTCACAGGTAGTGGGGTTGAGAGCCGCCTGCCTGGGGTGCTGGGAACCAAAGTCTGGTCTCTGCAAGAGCTGCCAGCACTCATAACCTCGGAGCCAGCTCTGCAGTCCCCTCCCCCTTTTATTACATTGTGTGTGTGTGTGTGTGTGTGTGTGTGTGTGTGTGTGTGTGACTTGTGGGGATAGGTTTTCTTCTACCATGTGCGTGCTTGGTAGTTTCTGTCAATTTGACACAAGCTAGAGTTATCTGAAAGGAGGGAACCTCAACTGAGAAAATGCCTCCAGAAGATCCAGCTGTAAGGCATTTTCTTAAGTAGTGATCAATAGGGGAGGGCCCAGCCCATGGTGGGTGGTGCCATCCCTGGGCTGGTGGTCCTGGGCTCTATAAGGAAGGAGGCTGAGCAAGCCATGTTGAGTGAGCCAATGAGCAGCACCCCTCCATGGCCTCTGCATCAGCTCCTGCCTCTAGGATCCTGGCCTGTTTGAGTTCCTGTCCTGACTTCCTTCAGTGATGAACTACAACATGGAAGCATAAGCCAAATCAACCCTTTCCTCCCCAACTTGCACTGGGTTGGTGTCTTGTCGAAGCAGCAATAGAAATCCTGACTAAGACAGTATGAGACCCAGAAATGAAACTCAGAATAATCTGTCAGGCTGGTGACAAGCACCTTTACCACTGAGCCCTCTCGAGGCCCCTTCTTAGCGTTTTTTTTTGTTGTTGTTGTTGTTTTTCGAGACAGGGTTTCTCTGTGCAGCTTTGCGCCTTTCCTGGAACTCACTTGGTAGTCCAGGCTGGCCTCGAACTCACAGAGATCCGCCTGCCTCTGCCTCCCGAGTGCTGGGATTAAAGGCGTGCGCCACCACCGCCCGGCTCCTTCTTAGCGTTTTGAGACAGAATCTCTCTGTGTATTCTAGGTTGCTCTTGATTTTAAGGTGATCCTCTTACCTCTGCCTTCCAAAGGCTGGGATTGCTAGCATGCAGTACCATACTTGGCTTGCTTGACTTAAAAATGAAAGCCAGGGCCAGGTGGTGGTGGCGGCGGCGGCGGCGCACGCCTTTAATCCCAGTGCTTGAGAGGCAGAGGCAGGCCTGGTCTGCAGGGTGAGTTCCAGGAAAGACTCCAAAGCTACACCGAGAAACCCTGTCTCAAAAAAACAAAACAAAACAACAACAAAATGAAGGCCAGGAAATGCAGTGTGTAATCCTAGCATCCAGGAGACAGAGACAGGAGGATGTGGAGTTCAAGACCAGCCAGAGCTACATAGTGAGTGTGTCTCAAAATATAAATAGCAAGGGCTGTTGAGGCAGCTCAGCTGGTAAGGTGCTTGCAGCCAAACCTGTCTAAACAACCAAGGGCTGGGATATCCCTCAGTGGTGGGGTGCTTACTCAGCATTCACACGGTCCTGTGTTTGATCCCTGGCATTAAAAGAAAGCAAATTGGGGTTAGGGAGATGGCCCTCTGGGTACAGGCATTTGCTGCTGTCAAATCTGGGTTCAGTCCCTCAGACCCACACGGTGGAAGAAGGTAACAAACTCCCAAGTAGCCCTTTGACCTCTACAGGCAAAAGGGGTGTGTGTGCTCTCCCACAACGAAAAAAGAAAATTAGGATCGAGTACACTTGATCACCAATTATACATTTCCTGCCTCTTAACACCTCCATGTTCACAGCGAGTTCCTTCCTTCTGCCCAGGGTTTAAGCTGACGACATAACCGATCCATGGTATGGTTAAGGGATCCTCCTGCCTCTGCCTCCAGGGTGCTGAGATTTAAAGGTGTGCGCCACCACCGCCAGGCTTGACATGGGTGAGTTCTGAGGGGAGACACACTCAGTAAGGCATGCACTTGGCTGACTGAGTTATTTCCCTAACCCTCCCCCAACTCTTTTTTAAAAGATTTATTTGGGGACTGGAGGGATGGCTCAGCCATTACGATTACTCATTGCTTTCCCAGAGAACCTGAGTTTGGTTCCCAGCACCCAGGTCAGACCGCTCACGACCACCTGTGACATCAGCTCCAGAGAAGCTGGTGCCTCTGGCCTTCACCCTCCCATCCTGTACACACATACACATGGGTAGAAAGAAAAAGATTTTAAAATCTTACTGTAAAATCTTTTGTGTGTGTGTGTGTGTGTGTGTGTGTGTGTGTGTGTGTGCATACATGTGACCAAGAGCTTGCAGGTGCCTGTGGAGGCCGGGAAAGGGCATCAGGTGCCCTGGAGCTGGGGTTACAGACAGTTGTGAGACAACTGACATGGGTGTGGGAACCGACTTAGGTTTTTTTTTTTGTTTTTTTGGGTTTTTTGTGTTTTTGTTTTTCAAGACAGGGTTTCTCTGTGTAGCCCTGGCTGTCCTAAAACTCGCTCTGTAGACCAGTCTGGCCTTGAGCTCACAGTGATCCACCTGCCTCTCGCTCCCGAGCACTGGGATTAAAGACATGTGCCACCCTGGCCCAGCACAGTAAGTGCTCTTAACTGCCCACCCATCTCTCCAGATTCTTTGTACCCGCCCTCTTTCTATGAATGACAGTTACTAAGCCGGATTGTGTGTAGGTCCCGTGTGCATCGTCCCAGTCGTTCTGATTTCAGGATGGTAAGAATCCTGTGCCTGAAGACAGTGCGCTTCAGCAGCGGGGCCTGGAACTGTCTGCAGACCCTGCAGCGGGCGGCCTCCTGTTGCTTACAGCCTTGGGAATTTGACCTTAACTAGACCCAGGCAGTGACTATGGAGTTTTCAGACTTGCTCTTGTAAAGGCCCATGGGGTCTTCACAGTACATGTCAGATCTCTCTCTCAGCCTAGTTGCAGAGACCTGAGGCCCTAACCGCTGTGGAGTTCAAACACCTTGCTCTAGGCTCCTGGCCCCGCCCCATCATTCCCGCTTCATCCCATTGGTCAACTCCTGCAAACTCGGGGAGAGATAGCTTTGCCTGGCCCTGTTCACAGTTCACTGTCCAACTTGTAGGTCAGAGAAGGGGGGCTGAAGTGGGGGTGGGCCCAGGCCCAGGGGTCAAAGTCAGAGACTTGAGTTAAGAGGGGGAGTGTGTACTTAAGCTGTGGGCTGCCCTGTGCCTCTCCCCTCTAAAGTATGGAGGTCTCGTCCAGTCCCCTGCACCGGGCTCTTCAAGTGTTTGCCGTGCTTCAGTGGGTCTTTTCGTTCTTGGGACTTGGTGAGTCCCCAAAGGCCCTGGAGTCAGACACACTTGGCTGTGGATGCTCTTCTTCCCCATGATCCCACGGAGACAGAGGAGGGATTTCTGGGGTCCTAGGAGGAGTCTAAGGTTTGAGTAGCATAGGAGTGGGAAAGCGGGCCAGAGGGGAGGAAAGGCTTAAACATCTGGGTTCCTTTTAAAATATTTGTGTATATATATATATATATATATTTGTGGGGTGGTTATGTTCATGCCACAGCAAATATGTGCAGAACAGAGGGCAGTTTGAAGTAATCAGGCTTGTCCTTTCATTATATGGGACCAGGGAATCGAACTCAGGTCATCAGACTTGGCAGCAAGCACCTTTACCATCTCAGCCATCTTGCCGGCTCTAACACCTGGGGTCTTAGCATGCCTCTCTATCTTGTCTTTCAGCCCTGCTGTGCCTGGTGGCATTGGTCCTAGCCTCTCTAGGCCGGGCCTGGACCCTCGTGGTCCTCTACCTGGCCTGGCTCTGCAGAGATAGACACACACCCAGGATGGGGGGTCGCCGTTCTGCCTGGGTCCGGAACTGGGCAGTCTGGAAGTATTTCCGAGACTACTTCCCCGTCACGGTGAGAGTCCCAGAAAGTGCGCTGGGTTGATGATGGATGGGTGGGGTCTCAAAAGAGACAAATGCAGGCATCCCCTCCCCCAACCCCAAAGCTGTTCCTCACTGGGAAACGTGATACATCCGTAATAACCTTTGTTCCCCAGCTGGTTAAAACGGCCGCGTTGGATCCATCTCAAAACTACCTGTTTGGTTTCCACCCTCACGGGGTCCTGGTTGTTGGGGCCTTCAGCAACTTCTGTACGGAGGCCACAGGCTTCTCTCGCCTCTTTCCGGGTCTCAAGCCACATTTACTCATGCTGCCGTGTTGGTTCCAAGTGCCTCTCTTCCGAGATTACATCATGACCAGTGGTAAGGAAGCCCCTTCTCAAGATCCCCGGGCGCGGGAGGTCACCTAACCTTTCCTATCCTGGGTGGGGGTGGGGGCGCCTGTGTTCACCTCTGTCTTGGTGGTATTTCTGTACACCCCACCCTTTGTCTTCCCCACCCAGGTTTAGTCTCTTCTGACAAGGCTAGCGCTTCCTATCTCTTGTCCCACCCCGAGGGTGGCCAGGTGGCTGTCCTGGCTGTGGGGGGTCCCCTGGAGGCTTTGGAGGCAAAGCCTGGAACAGTGAGTTTGCGACTCCGGAATCAGAAAGGATTCATTAAATTATCCCTGGAACACGGGTGAGGAGTGGGCGGGCGTCGGGCAGGGGTGTATGCACCGGAGCTGCCCTGCAAGAGAGGAGTGTGGAACCCCGCACCTTCAGGCCCCAGCAGTCAGGCGCATGCGTCTGTTTCTGCTCCTCCAGGGCTTGGCTGGTGCCCATTTTCTCCTTTGGAGAGAATGAGCTCTTCCGGCAGTATCCCAACCCGCCAGGCTCCTGGGTGCGGAGGGTGCAGGAAGGTCTTCAGAGGATGCTGAGTGTGGCCCTGCCTCTCTTTCATGGTCGCCTGGGTCTCCTGATACCCTTCCGTGTGCCCATCCACACTGTGGGTGAGTCATGAATCTCTTCCATCCTCTCCCAGGAGGGGGACTGTTCCCTTAAAGCCTGCCTGCCATCCCAGCTCTCTGGTCCACGAGTCTGGCACTCATCCCCCAAGCTGTCCAGCCCGACAACCCCCCCCTCCCCGTTAGTCGGAGATTTAGGGACATCTTAAGAGTCAGTCTTCTCCTCCTGTTCCTTCCACAGTGGGTGCCCCAATTCCAGTCCAGCGAAGCCCGAGGCCCAGCCGGGAACAGGTGGACCAATTGCACGCGTTGTATGTAGAGCGGCTCACCCAACTGTTTGAGGAACACAAGACCCTATACGGTGTCCCTGCTGATCAACACCTTGTTCTCACCTAGGCGTGTCTGTGTTCCTGTGTCCTGGCCTTCCTGAGTGACTGCGAGGGGTGGGGGGTGAAATTAAACGTGGGAATAGACAAGAAGCATTTGTGTGTTTGTACAATTTCGGGGGAGGGAGAGATAAGCCACAGGGCAGGGGGGCCCCACTGTCCCCACTGATCCTGGTAGCCTTGACCACTCCCAGGGACCTGCAAACAGATTGCCTTCCCCGGGCCTGCCTGCCGGCATATCTGGGTCCTCCTGCCCTGCCTGGCCTGTATGTGGGAGATCAAAGTCTCAGGTCCACACTGTTGTCTGGGTCCCTGTGGCCCAGTGGGTGGGCTGGCCAGCGGCTTCTTGCCTGCTCCCTGCCTTAATGCCTCAGTCACCAGGGAGGTGCTATCCCTTTTCTATACACTCTCTGTTCCTGCTCGGGGCTCCTCCCAGTAACGTGCCCAGACTCACTGACCAAGGAAGTTCAAAGGTCAGTATATTCGGAAGATTTTTCTAAACCTGTCGGTGTAGAAAGATTTTCTCAGGTCCCTCCGGCCCCCAGCGGTCCAGAGTTCTTCCGGTCCTGTCTAGCTCTGGTAGGGACAAATCTCTCTCATTTACAGCTGCTTATAAAATAATCACTTAGAGGCTTAATATTATTTACATACTGTATGGCCTATGCAGGCCTCTTGCTAGCTAGCTCTTACATCTTAAATTAACCCATTTCTATTGATCTATGCTTTGCCATGTATTTCGTGACTTTACTGGTGTGCTGGCATGTTGCTCCTTGGGCAGCAGACTGGTGTCTCTCCAGCCTCTGCCTTTCTATTTCCTGTCTCTCTCCTTGGATTTCCCACCTGCCTCTAAGCTGCTTGCCATAGGCCAAAACAGCTTATGTGTTAACCAATGGGAACAATATATATTCACAGCAGGTCAGTCCAAGAAGGAGCCTAGAAAGTTCTGGGGCTCCAGGTCCAACATCTGATCACCCCAGAAGTGAACTGCGTCCTGTGAGATCACAGCCCCAAACCTTCATCCTCTGTTTCCTAGGTCCTGGAGTCCTTGTCAGACAAAGGGAGTACTGGGACCTCTGTCCCCATATCTCCTCTCTTCCCTCTCGCCATGAAAACACCTCAGAAGCAATGGCTTGAGGTGATAGGCGCCTACCAATATGTGCTCACTTTTCTGTTCATGGGTAAGAGTGACTGGAGAGGCGTGGGGGTGGGGCAGGCATGGGGGCTAGGAAAAGGGGATTAGAGGCCGTATGGCTGGGCTATTACCCTTGTGGGTTCCAGGCACCAGGAAAGGGACAGAGGAGACCACAGGGCTGCTCAGCAGGGGTGGAGGAGAAGGAGCAGGTTGTTTTGGCTGACTAAAGCCAAGTCATCTTTCTCTCTCACCCAGGCCCCTTCTTCACCCTTCTGGTCTTCTTCCTCCTTTTTACCCGGCTCTGGTCCTTCTCTTTTCTCTACTTGGTATGGTTGTACCTGGACTGGGACACGCCCAACCAAGGTAAGTTTTGGACAAAGGTCTCCTCGGGTCGTGAGACATGTTTTGCCACCCTCTGTGTGTATGCACACGCCTGTGGGGTTTTGGTTTTCTTTTGCTTTTAAATGTAAGCGGGCTCACGTGGTGGGTTCACTTGTGTGCACTGGTGTTGCGTGTTGCCTGTGGGGACCAGAGGTTGATTCCATCACTCTTCCACCTTGTTCCCTGAAGCAGGGGCTCTCAATCAAACCCAGAGCACACTGATATGGCAGTTTTTGCTAGCCAGCCTGCTCTGGGGGATTCCTGTCTCCACTTTCTGAGGCTGGAATTCCAGTGGCTTCCAGGCCCGCCTGGCCGTTACATGAGTTCTGGGGATCCGAACTCTGGTCGTTTTGCTTGCCTGGCGAGCACTTAACCCCTGAGCCATCTGGCCTCGTCCAGAAGGTACAGGTTTTCCCAGGGAAGTCTTTCATCCCTGCCCCCATCTCTCTGTGTGCAGGTGGAAGGCAAGGCAGGTGGATGAGAAAGTGGACAATTTGGAAACACCAAAGAGATTATTTCCCGATCAAGGTGACGAGTCCAAACTCTTAAAAGACAGTTGGTCTCCTTCCTCTCTGTCACCCACTCACCTTCCTCTGTGCTGGAGCCTCTACTGGATTGGATGTCTGAGCTCAGAATGGGGTGATATGTGAGAGTGAACCCTGGGACCTTGAACTTTGAACTTTGGGGTAAAGGGCAGCTCTTTCCAGCAGTTATCTTGTGTTCTTGTTTTATTTTTATTGACTTTTGAAATTTAATTTTTTTTTAAGTTTACATTTTACTTATTTGGAGGGTGGGGTAGGGGCTTGCGTATGCTACAACAGTGCCTGTAGCAAATAGATTTGGGAGGGGAGGGAGGGGGTGGGGTGGGGTGAGGGTGGGGGGTGTTTCTCCCATCACGTGGGTCCCAGGGATTGAACTCGAGTTGTCAGACTTGGTAGCAAATCTCCTTTACAAGCCCCAACAATCTCACCTGGCCCTGGTCTTGCCTTCTGTGCCTCCTTCCTCCTGACGTCTTCCCAAACACCTCAAAGCTACTGAAAACCACAGAGCTGCCTCCTGACCGGAACTACGTGCTGGGTGCGCATCCCCACGGGGTCATGAGCACGGGAATCTTTTGTAATTTCTCCACGGACAGCAATGACTTCTGCCAGCTCTTTCCCGGGCTGCGGCCTTGGATCGCCACGCTGGTGGGACTCTTCTATCTTCCTATCTATCGAGACTACCTCATGTTCAACGGTGAGCCTTCTTATCCTCGCCTCGTGTCAACTTGGCACAGCCTAGAGCCCCTTTGAGAAGCGAATCTCAATGGGGGGCTCCCCCAGATCAGATCGGCCTGTGGGGGACTGTCGTCTTGATCGTTAGTTGATGTGGGAGGACCCAATCCACAGTGGGCAGCACCATTCCCTGGGCTTGTAGAAGAAAGTTAGCTAGGCAGGAGTCTGCAAGTGAGCCTGTAAGGAGCGCTTCCTCCGTGAGCTCCTGCACCGACTGCCCGCAGTGATGGACCTGCAACCTATAAGCTAAAACAACCCCTTTCCTCCCCTCAGTTGCTTTTGGTCAGAGTAAACCCAGTAACAGATGCAAGGTGAGAGCGCCCATGGATTGTAGGCTGTCCCCTCTGTAACTGACAAGATCCTCACACAGCAGACCCCTACTTCGGAAGGAGAACTGGCTTGAGCACTGGTCCCACTCCGAGGGGGACACCAAGTGTGTTGTACAGGATCCTGGGACTGCAGAACTCAGAAAGGATCAGGACATGAGGCTTGCTCTCTCTGTACCAAAGACTGGCTGTGGGAGGGCTGGGGAGCAGGGGAGAGGGTGGTGACAGTCCCCTGCTTTTGTCCACAGGGCTGTGTCCTGTGAGTCGACAGAGTCTGGACTTCATTTTGTCACAGCCCCAGCTTGGCCAGGCAGTGACCATCCTGATTGGGGGCGCCCAGGAATCCCTGTACGCGGTTCCGGGGGAGCACTGTATCACGCTAAGGACACGGAAAGGCTTCGTGCGCCTGGCGCTAAGGCACGGGTGAGTGGGACAGCGGATGCTTCTCAGGTCGGGCGTCTGCTTTGTAACAGGGTCTCGCGTAGCCCAGGCTGTCCTTGAACTCACCCTGTAGCCAAGAATGACTTGGAACTTCTGATCCTCCTGCCTCCACCTCTTGAGTACTGGAATTACAAGTGTGAACCATCATGTCAGGTTTACACTGTGCTGGAGGTGGAACCCAGGGCTTCATGCATGCTAGGTGAGTATTCTACTTGATAGGTGTAGATAGGATAGGTAGGTATATCTATATTGCATGCATGCACGCGCATACACACACACACACACACACCCCACACACACAGGAGGCCATCAGAAGGCATGAGATCCCCTGTCTAGAGTTACAGGCAGCTAGCTGTGAGCTGCTGAACACATGGGCTGGAAACCCAACCCTGGTCCTCTGTAATAGCAAGTACTCTTAACTTCTGAGCCATCTCCTCAGCCCCACACCTGGATTTTTTATTTTTATTTATTTATTTTTTCTCTATTAAAGTACTTTATTCTTGACATTCAGATTAAACAACTTCAGTTAATGTAGGTGATAAAGCACAGGTGTAGGACAGTGTTTTTTCTTAGATAGCTTCCTGGCTGAGATGAAACTAATTCCATTTTTAACCGCATTGGCATTTCAAAACAATATATGAGTAAGTTCAGAGTTCTATGTTTCAGACTGTTTTTAAATGTCAATCTTAAAGGAAACCAGAGTAGGCCACTATTACACTTCTGCTGTTACTCACTTGTAACCACTGCAAAGTCTCTGAATATTCAGTTCCTTTTTTTTTTTTTTAATGCCAAATGTTGTTTATTGAAGGAGGGAAGAGGTCTTAAATACAGGCTTACAGCACAATGGGAGAACCCTGGAGGGCAGAAGTTCGCTACAGATGTTTTACAATCTTGCATCTAAGCTGTTAACACCCATTATGCAGGATACACAGACAAGGAACTTCCCTTAAGCATTCAGGAGGGTAGAACCCAGCAGGGAATTAGCATAGGGAGGATATCAAGGTCAAGGTCAGTAAGCAAGGCAACAGTTACCCAAAACGGGGGCCAGGACCCTACAGGTCCCCCTTTTACTAAAAAATGAGCTTCTGACTTAGGTTGCGTGGGATGTCAGCAGGTCACCTTACCCGTTATGGAGACGCCTGCCCAGGCCACACAGGCGCTCTGTCGTAGGTTGGTGAGTGCCCCAGACATAACCCGTCTCTGAATACTTATTATCATACAGGCTCAGTCGTGTGTGAGCTGCAGAGTTAACTGCTGCCAAAGATCTCAAAGTGGTGCTGGGCTTGCAGTCTGTGTGTTCGACACAGAAAAGACCAACAGAACACCTGGATTTTTAAAAATGTCCTTTTATTTTTATGTGTGTGTGTGTGTGTGTGTGTGTGTGTGTGTGTTTGCCTGCGTACATGTCCATGGGCTATGTGTGTGCAGTGCCCAAGGAGGCCAGAAAAGGGCCTTGGATTTTCTGGAATTGGAGTTAGAGACAGTTGTAAGATACCCTGTGGGTGCTGAGACTCAAGTCCAGGTCTCTCCAGCCCCATCCCTTGCATCTGGATCTTAAAACGTAGATTCTAGGAATCAAGCTCAGGTCTTCACTGTTCCACGGCAAGCGCGTCACTGGGCAGTATCCCCATACCTTCACCCCTATTTCAAGGCGATGCCTTGGCGCCAGGTGTGGTGAGACAGGCCCTGAGTCCCAGCATCCTGGGAGACTTAGGCAAGAGGAGACACACGTACTAACCACAGCAAGCCTTTCTTCCCAGGGCCTCCCTCGTGCCTGTGTATTCCTTTGGGGAGAACGATATCTACAGATTCAAGTCTTTTGCCCCAAACTCCTGGCAGCATCAGTGTCAAGTTGCCTTCAAGAGACTCATGGGATTTTCCCCTTGCGTCTTCTGGGGCCGTGGTCTCTTCTCTGCCAACTCCTGGGGTCTGGTACCATTTGCCAAGCCTATCACTACTGTGGGTGAGTCTGGGGGATCTCTGGGGAGGAGAGCCACTGTCCGATGTATTTGCAGCAAGAGAGCCGTCTCACCCACATCTCCCCCCCCCCCCCCTGCAGTGGGCCGCCCCATCCATATACCCCAGTGCCTCAAACCCACCGAAAACCAAGTGGATCATTATCACCAACTCTACATGAAGGCTCTGGAGCAACTGTTTGAAGACCACAAGGAGACCTACGGTGTCCCCGCTTCTACCCACCTCACCTTCCTCTAGACCTGAGACCCTGGACCCTGGGCCTGCAGACTTCCACCATGTCATGCTCCACTACTTCATAAATGCTAATTCTGCAGGCGAACATGTCCAGACATGGCCATCCCCATCCCAAGGTGCTATAGAATGTCCCCCACCCCCTAGTCTGGGTCTCTGGTCTCTTCCCACTGAGTCTTGGCTGGTTTTTGTTTTTGTTTTATTTGTTTGTTTTTGGTTTTTTGAGACAGAGTTTCTCTGTGTAGCTTTGCACCTTTCCTGGAACTCTCTCTGTAGCCCAGGCTGGCCTCCAACTCACAGAGATCCGCCTGCCTCTGCCTCCCGAGTGCTGGAATTAAAGGTGTGTGCCACCACCGCCCAGCATCACCACCGCCCAGTGTTTTTGTTTTGTTTTGTTTTTTGACCTTGGATAAGTCACTATCCTATTTGCCTACGTTTTTATTAACATATGTTAATTATACACAATAGTGGGTCTCATGGTCCTCGAACGATGGCTCAATAGTTAAGAGCACTTGTGGTTCTTGCAGAGGACCCAGGTTGGAATCCCAGCACCTACATGGAGGCTCACAACCACCCATAACTCTAGTTCCAAGGGATCCATTGTTCTCTTCTGACCTCCACAGGCACCTGGCGAGCACAGAGTGCACACACATTCACGTAGGCAATCACTCATTCCCATAAAATAAAATAAATAAATCTAAAACTCTCAACTATCACAGTCTTTTTTTTTTTTTTTTTAATGGTTTTTCGAGGCAGGGTTTCTCTGTGTAGCTTTGGAGCCTGTCCTGGAACTCACTCTGTAGACCAGGCTGGCCTCAAACTCCCAGAGATCTGCCTGCCTCTCCCTCCCGAGTTCTGGGATTAAAGGCATATAACACCACACCCATCACTATCAGGGTCTTTTTGTTTGTTTGTTTTGTTTTAGTTTTTCAAGACAGGGTTTCTCTGCATAGCTCCAGCTGTCCTAGAACTCACTCTGTAGACCAGGCTGGCTTTGAACTCACAGAGATCTGCCTGCCTCTGCCTCCTGGGTGCTGGGATTAAAGGTGTGCACCACCACACCCAGCATCTATGGGGTTTTATTATGACATTTTCATACATGTATACAATGCAGCATTTGATCATACTTACACCCACAACCCTCTCTTGTCCCCTTTCCTTCCTCTTTCCAACTAGTCTTTTTGTTTGCATTGTTTTGGGGACCTAGTAAGTTTCATTAGAATTATTTACAGAAGTGTGGGTCCCTCACCAGTGACTACACTGTTGAAGGGAATGTCTCACCCTCCCAAAGCAAGCATTAAGTTCCACCTCCACCCTCAATTTTGGAGGCAGGGTCTCATTATATACCTCTTGCTGGCCTGGAACTCACTATGCAGACAAGCTGGTCTCCCACGCTTTGGGATTAAAGGTGTGACTACCACCACCCCTATTGTGAGACAGATTCTCCTGTGACTCAAGCTGGTTTTGAATTTATTATATGGCTGAGGTGGGCCTTGAATTCCTGCTTCTCCTTTCTCCACTTTCCAAGGGCTGGAATTAGAGCAGCTGTAATCCTTGCTGAGATCCCCCTCCCTCTCTAAAGGAGGCCAGCAGCTTAGCTAAGAACTGGCAGGTGCCCAGCAGTGGTGGCAGATGCCTTTAATCCCAGTACTCGGGAGGTAGAGGCAGGCAAATCTCGGTGAGTTCAAAGCCAGCCTGGTCTACGAAGTGAGTTTCAGGACAGTCAGGGCTACACAGAGAAACCCTGTCTTGGGTGGGGGGAGGAACTGGCAGGCTACAGAATAGAGTTGAGGAGGAAGGGCAGCTTTGAAGGGTGAATAGAATTTAGGAAGAAGAAGTAAGGGTAGATACTGGAATACCAGGAGCTAAGCTTGGGATCTGTCCTGGAGTGCATGACTTTGTCCCCAGCATGTGCGAGGCTGAGGCAGGAAGATCATGGCTCCTACAGCAAGATGGGAGGCGGAGATAGAAATCCCCCTGAAAGTTCATAGGTCAGCTAGCCTGGCCTAGGCAATGATGAACAAGAGACCCTGTGGTGATCTATTGTGTATCAAATAAAGCTTGCCTGAGGATCAGAGGGCAGAGCAAGCCACTAGATTAAACATAGAGGCCAGGCAATGGTGGCATACACCTTTAATCATAGCACTTGGGAGGCCAAGCTCCATCACACCTTTAATCCCAGTATTTGGGAGTCACATACCTTTAATCCCAGCACTTGAGATCTCCTGCCTCTGCTACCAGTATTTGGGAAGCACACAGGCTATTCATCCCAGCACTAGGAAGGAAGTGAAATGGCTGAGCAGAGAAAGGCATATAAGGGGTGAGGAGACAGGAACTAGAAGCCTTTTTGGCTGAGGACTCAGAGGCTTTCAAACAGGATTCGTGGAGTTGGCCATGTGGGACGTGGCAGTGGCTGCCTCCTTTGTCTCCCTGACCTCTCAGCATTGACCCCAATATCTGGCTCTGGGTTCTTTATTATAAGACCATTTTAGGATTCGTGCAACAAGACCCTGTCTCAGACAAGGTGGACAGCCAGTACTGATGTCGAGTGTGCGCCCACATTCACACAAACACTCCCGCACAAGGATTGAAAGCAAAACAGGAGGAAACGCGTGCCTGGTACTAGTAAATCCGGCCAAGAACCAACAGTTTGGAGAAGCTCATAGGCCCCAAGGGTGAGCCTAAAACAATCACATTGCTAAACAGATATATTATCACACTGCCCTCTAAATTCATGTATCTCCATACGCATAGATGAGCACAGCCCCCAGACCTTATCAGCAAAGCTCCTTTGTGTAGCGGACAATGGTTAAGGTAGAAACTTAACTGATCAAAGCGAAGAGAACAGGGTCAATGGAGTGCTCAGCCCCAAATGGGACACCATCTGAATGCAGGGACCCTCTAGGAAGAGGGGAGCAGAAGACCGTAAGAGTCAAAGGTCAGGAGTAAAACAGTGTCTTCTAGATGCAACGGGACACTGCTCTCATGAACTCACACCAAGTGTGGTCGCCCGCACAAGATCAAGCGGGCCCTGAAGGGTGAGGGGCCCACAAGACCCCACCCCTAGCCGAGGAGTGGTTGATAGCTGGAGACTTCTGGAGAGGGGAGGGAGAGGCAATTTTCTTTAAGGGTGTCAACCCTAGTAGGTAGACCTATTCCAGTGGATCCGTCCACACCCATGAGGATATGGGCCCCGCAAATTGGAATCGATGAGTTGACAGAGAGAGAGAGAGAGAGAGAGAGAGAGAGAGAGAGAGAGAGAGAGAGAACGAAGTTCAGAGGGGATGTGGGGTAGGGGATGGATGGGGAGGAGAGAGAAGTCAATATAATTGAAATACATTATATGCGTATATAAAATCCCCCCCATTAATAAAAGGATATTATATTAAAAGAAGTTTTAAGGGCTTAAAATAGGGATGGAGACCAGAGCAGAGTCAGTGGGGGTTCACCGCCATTGTGACGGCACAGCATGGATAAAACGAGGGGTGAGATCTGCTGTCTTGGGGTCCTCATGCAGTCCCAGCGTCCTTTCTCTTTGGCTCCGTCTGTTCACTGGCTTTGTGTTTGCATCCAGGACGAAAAGCAAGAGTGACTTGTCAGCTGGGCCTGGTGACGCATGCTTGCAGTCTCTCGGGATGCTGAGACAGAAGGATTTCTTTAAGTAGGAGGCCAGCCTGAGCTACACAGTGAAATCCTGTCTCAAGTAATAATAATAATAATAATAATAATAATAATAATAATAATAATAATGATATCAATTTGTTTGAATGTAATCAGAATGCAACTCTATTTGTCATCCACTGTCCTGTAAAATGTATTCAGGGGAAGGGTTTTCTTGTGTCTCCAGGTGAAAATTTGGGCAAATCCACAGCTTACGTTGGTCCTCTTCAGATAGGAAGTTGTTTGTCTTCTTTTTTTAAAAGACAGAGTCTCATGGAGCCCAGGTTATCTTTGAACTCACCGTATTAGGAGAGGAAGACTTTGAATTCCTGATCTTCCTATCTGTGCTGGGGATGAACCCAGGGGTATTACGTGTGTGATGCACAGACACTCTACTGACTGAGCGTCTCTCCAGCCCTCCTGATATCGTTTTTTGTTGTGGTGTGTGTGTGTGTGTGTGTGTGTGTGTGTGTGTGTGTGTGTGTGAATATGCATGCAGATTGAGGCTAGAGGACACCCAGCATCGTCCTCCATTGCTCTCGGTCCTGTGCCCTCCAGACGGGGTCTCACTAAAGGTGGAGCTTCCCGTTTTGCAGCTCAGCTGCTGGTCAGCAGCACCGGCCATTCTTTTGTCTCTGCTACCTCTAGGGCTGAGGTTACAGGTACGCAGGGAGGAAGTGTGTCAGAAGATTCAAACCCTGGTGGGCTTCAGCCCGGTCTTTGGAGCAGGAGGCCTGCCCCTACTGGCTCCAGTTCTCCAGGGCCTGCCTTGTTACTTTGTTATACACCTGAAATAAGCCCATGCCCCTGGTCCCCCTCCATACCCCCATGTGCCCCACGACCCCTGTCTCTCCCCCTCATCTCCTCCCCTCCTTTCTCTCCTCTTTTATTTGAGAAAAAGGTTCATGTAGCCCAGGCTGGCCTTGAACTCACTACGTCACCAAGGCTCCCCTTGAACTTCTATCTCCACCTTCCAACTTTTGGAATTATAGACCCTGCCACCACGTCTAGCTCATAGGAAGTTCTCTCTGGAAAAGGACAAGTGTCAGGTGTTGTGATATAATCTTTTGTACATTATGAAGATGCATCACTGTTGGTTTAATATAAAGCTGAATGGCCAATAGCTAGGCAGGAGAGAATAGGTGGTACTTCTGGGGAGAGAGAGAAGGATGGGAAGAAGAAAGGGATTTTTGCCAGCAGACTCAGAGGAACTTGGACGTGATATACTGAGAAAAGGTAAAAGCCACGTGGGAGAAAGTAGATTAATAGTAACAGGTTAATTAAAGTTATAAGAGCTAGTTGGAAACAAGCCTAAGCTAAAGGCCAAGCTTTCATAAGTAATAATAAGTCTCAGTGTCATTATTTGCAGGCTGGCGGTCACAATGAGAAAGTGCTACTACATTTGGCACCCAACGTGGGGCACAAATCGACCACCCTGGGGTTAAGAGTCCCGTGCTCTACTGACTGAGCTAGCTGAGCTGTACTTCTTTTGAGTGGCCTTTACCCAAGCTCCCTCCCCTTCAGTGGGTCAAATTCCTCAGACACCCTGGCATGGCTGTTCCATCTAAATTAGCTTAGTACAAATGTCTTTCATTTGATGAGACGTAACCTGCCCAAAAGGGAAACTCCCCAAAGTTAGGGTTGGGGCAGGGTTTTGTTTTTGTCTTTCCAGGAGAATAAAAGCATCCAACTAAAGAATCTAAAGACCACTGGCCAAATAAGACATCTGAAGAAGAAGGATGAATCATTCAGAGAAAATGTCCCAAGAAAAAGAGTAAATTGGCTTAATGGTATAACACATTCCCAACAGGAAAAAATTTCATAAATCTTCCCAAATGTTTGTCTCTATGTTCTCTACAGACATATAAGGCAAATGGTATGTTTGTAGTCTCAACTCAATTAAAAATTAAAGCTGGCTTTGGAGTTGGAGTGTGGCTCTCTTCATCTCTAAACCCAAGCATGCTTGTTAAAGGAAAATCCAAAGTCTCTGTCTCATGTCAGAAGGGCCACCTGGTATGGGACA